CTCTAAGATGTGAATAAAAAATGTCTTTTCTCTTGCTAATTTGTCATTTTTTAATTCATTGACCCCCATATTCAGAACCTAAGAAGAAGGTAGAGGAAAGGTTCCTCTCTGAAAGGATCTGATTGATGCTAAAGGGAGTGGTAATATAAAGAGGAAACCTTTCCTTTAAGATTAATGAAAACTTAACAAGCTTCAATGACTGCTTCTTTGTGGAGTGGGTGGTGGGGTTTATCACAGAGACAGAAGTTTTCAACTATGGAAAATGGAATGAAAGCAACCACTCCAGTTATCACGTGTGGCTTTATACAGCGGTTCTCAACCTGTGGGTCGCCAAACGACCCTATCACAGGGGTCGCGGGGTACTCGTATGTGGGAGTATCTGCATGTGGGCCTGGAGATGGATAGAGGAGCGGTGTCTCGGTTCCTAAGACCATCGAAAATATGTGTTTTCTGATGGTCTTAGGCGACCCCTGTGAAAAGTTGAGAAGATGTTCTCAACTGCTTAGAAGATCAGAATCCTTAACTTGCTGGGGTTTTTATTGGGAATTCTGTTTCTGTAAAACAGCCATTTGATGACTGGAATGCCAATAGGCTTGTTCTGGGTGGATCAAATTCCTGTCTGAGCTTTATTATGTCTGCCAGTGTTTCCCGGTACAGGAATATTTTCATACTGAAATGCATATTATTTCATGATAAACTACTTTTAGTTTCCTTCTTTATGTAGCTGCTAATTGTGCATGTAGGCAGGTTGTGTTAGCTGTGGGTTTTTTTCCCCAAGGAGGGTAGAGGGCCGGAGAAAATATTTTTTATGTAGAGCAGGTGTTCCCAACCGAGTCAGCCCCGCCTCGTGACGCTGACTCCGCCCCCAGCGCCGTGCTCCTCCTGCCACACTCAACATGGCGGCACCCTCGGTCCGCCGAGGAGCTTGAGCTGGTCGCAAGTGACGCGGTCCACTCCAGTCATGGCGGCCCCCCAACAGGCCGCGGGCAGCGGAGCTCTGGAAACGTGCGGTCTGGAGCGGATTTTGGAGGCGTTGAAGCTGCTGCTGAGCCCGGGAGGTGAGAGGACGGACCTTGGCGCCGGTCTGTACCCGGGACTCTCAGGGCAACCAGTTCTCCAGGGCTGCCCTGGCTCCCACACAGTGCGCCCCTCAGTCCGTCCCCGGGACCCCGGGACGCCCCGCCCCTGAGGGCTTTGGTCATTGTCCAGCCTCATACTATACTACCCTTGAGGAAGCTGAGGTTCCTGGAGGAATGGGCTCCGTTGAATATTGATACTAACCAGCGTCTCTTGAGCGCTAATGTTCTGTCAGGCATTGTGTTAGCGCCTTGGGCACATGTTTTCCTTTAGTCTTAACTGCAGTCCTCTAAGGCAGGGGCTGCGGAAGAAGCTTTCAGAGACTGTAGGCGCTCTGAACGCACAAACTGAGGTCCCACCCTCTTGAGGGCGCAGGGTCTAAAGTGAACACCCGAGATTTGCACGAAATGCCAAAGAGACTAGAAAAAGGAAACGGTGACATTTGAGCTGGGTTTGGGGAGAGTAGGGATTTACAGCCTGGGGAAGGATTTACAGTCACATTTTCATCTTTCACGGTGACTTGACAATATCTTCCCAATTTAGAATCTGAAGGGACCTTGGGAGTGGTTTAGCCTGATACTCAGCTTTCACAGCTGGGGCTCACTAAAGAGTTTAAGTAACTCGCTCAAGACCATGTGGTCAAATTAGGGACAGCACACGCACCTAGATTCAAGGTCTACCGAACCCCCTTCTCAAACCAGAGCAAATTATTCAGTATGGAGCCTCCCATGTTATCTGGAGCTTTGAGAAAGGACACAATTGGAGTGTATATTTTGAGGGAAGGGGTTTAGGGTGAGCAAGGCTAAGTACCTGAAGCGTCATGAGGCAGTGTTCCAAGTTTTAAATTTTGAGATAACCCCCCAAACTGCAAAAACTCCCACAAACATACCATACCTGGGGGGAATGAAAAGAAGTTATTAATAATAGTAATTGAGTGCCTACAAAGTATCAATCCCTGTAGTATGTTCTTTACGTATCTATCATTTAATCCTCACAACAGTGTTCCATTTTACAGATGATGGAAACAAGGTTCAGACACCTTGGAAATTACCTAATGTCAATCTGTTGTAGTAAGTGGCAGATATAGGATTTGAACTCAGAAGCCATCCACTGCAGTATGATAACTATACTGCTTTGCCCCAATGGAGAATTAAACTGCAAAATACAGTTTTAACTTGCCACTTGAGAGGTTACTGGTCTAGCAACTGCAGCTATCGAGGACATGACTTGAGAACAGGTTAAATAAGCAAAAAATCTGGAAGTAATTATCACAAAGCACATATACAGTACTTCATTTATAGAAGACCTTCTCTAAATCTTGAAGAGTGTGTGCTGGAATTACATACATGAACTCATTTGACTCATTCCTATTTGAAAAATAATTAAGTAGCTTGGTAAAATGATATCATTTTGCACATATAGTCAGTTATATATTTGTGAATCTGCCTGCTGTTTTATCATATAAGCTGCTGAGGGAAATAAAAATACCTGTGCATTATGAGTATTCAGATGTCCCTGATGGACAGAGGGTATTGAAACAGGATGAAAGTATTGGTTAAAATTACATCTAGCTGGATTAAACTTTTTTTTATCTGTTTTTAAATTGACTACCTTTGAGATAGCATTTATTGAGTTAACTATATATAGTATTCTATCCTGAGTGTTGTTAGAGATACAAAAATATAGAACAATTTGTGCTCTAATGCATCTTATCTGTTTGGGGAGACGGTACTATACATATAGACCAAAAGATATTCAACATGGCAGTGTAACACTAGAGGTGAATGGCTGGGTACAGAGGAGTTATCCAGGGCTGAGGCTTGCAAGGTCACAGGAGAAAGAAGAATTGAGTCTAGGTGGGAATTACTTAGGAAGGAAGAGACCAACAGTCTTTCACTTTTGAGCCACCAAAAGTTCTGCTACATTAAGCATTTTCTCTTCCCCTGCATTCCATTTTTGTTCTCAATTATGGGACAAATAAGAATATATCCATCTCCATTGTCTGTATAAGCAGAATTTGACAGGGGTTTGTCAATTTTAGTGATTTTGTTTGTAAAAAATGGAGGCCATCTCAGCAATAGTTTTCCTAAGAAAATAACTTCTACTAAGTATAGATTCACTGAACTCTCATTAAAATTCGAATCACATGGGGGAAAAGGGGCCGAAAATGCTGATAATTTGTAAATAGTGAAGCTGTGTCACACTTATTCTTGAATGCCATATTGCTCTGCACTTTGATCTTAATACAAAGGACCATACAAATCGTGAAGTCTGCTTTTAAATGTCACAAAACATAGACATTTAAATTGGTGATTGGGAAGAATAGATAATGCTGTTCATGAGGGCAGCATTTCCCGAACTGTGGTAGGTGTGATTTTAGGTGGTAAGTAGAGAAACATTTTGAGGCTGAATAGTGTAGTGTAGATCAAGAGCTTGGCTCTGGAGCCAGACTGCACAAGTTGAATATGCCCTGGAAATAATTAATAATAATAATAATAATAATAATAATCCCTACATCAGAGTTATTGTGAGGGTTAAATTACATAAAGCACTTAGAACAATGTATTAACTTCTATTTAAGTTTTAAAAAATGGTTTATTTTGAAGAAATAAACAAAATGAATAATAAATACACCTGGTACTCAGATAAATGGCAAAAATTGTGGAAGCACCACTATGTGACTGAAATTTGGAAAACATTGTTTTAAGACAGATCTCAAACTTTTTGGTTTTAGCACTCCTACGAGTACACTCTTAAAAAAAATGTTGAGAACTAAAAGAGCTTTTATGTGGGTTATATGTATCACTATATACTATATTAGAAATTAAGACCTTAAAAGAAATCTTTTACATTTATTTAAAAAATAACAGTAGTATACCCACTGCATATTAACATAATGACATCTTCATGAAAGATATATTTTGCAAAACAAAATAATGGGAAGAGTATCATTGTTTTACATTTTGTAAATTTCCTTATTGTCTGGCTTATTAGCAGACAGCTGGATTTCCATATTGGCTTCTCCATTCAGTTTGTCATGATAGGTTGTTTTGATTGAAATAAATGAAGAAAATCTAGACTCACATAAATATGTAGTTGGAAAAGGGAGGAAATTTCCATCACCATTTCAGATGATTGTGTGTATTCTTTTATACTGTACTAAAACTCAACAAGAGGTAATTTCTGAAAGGTTAGTTGCAATATGGAATCTGAACTCAGTGACCTCTTCACACGTGGTATACTCATGAGAGAATCAGAGCGTAAAAAGCAAATAGTATCTTAGTATTAATATGAAAATAGTTTTGACCTTGCAGATCCCTGAGAGAACCTTGGGAAACTTCTCAAAACCTGAGGCCCAGTACCTCTTTTGAGAACTGCTGCTTTAAGGGAATGCTTTTATTTTCAAATAGATTTTATTTTTATTGCCAGTAGATGGCAGAAAAGACTACTTTATTAAGGGTCTCTTGAAAACTGTAGCTGATAGCTTTTGTTTTAAATCACTTCCATTGTGTCCCATGTTTGGATTCAAAGAGCTTATGAAGTCACAGGAAGTCACTTAGAGGTTGTTTAGTGATCTAATGGTTAGTGGCAATAAACTATGAGAACACTCATTTCCTTTTTAGGTATGGATTAGCCAAAGGAACCAGATATTCATGCCAGTGAAGAACGGAATACTCTTTGTTCACTTTAGAATACTGTGTTTAGTGACCATGTCATTAAATAACGTTCAATATAATTTAATGGCTGCACCTAGAACATTTTGACTGAATGAGGCTTCTGTGGTAAATGTTCAGCTTTTAAAAATTTCTGTTCTTGCTACAAATGAAGCTCTCAAGATGACTAAGACATGCCTCTGCCTTCAGAACACTAGTGGAATAGAAACAAACTGGATGAAGTATAACGTGTTAGGGACACTATTCTTTTTTTTTAATTTTTTTTTAAAGATTTTATTGGGGAATCGGGGAGGGGAATGGCCAAGTTGTCCTTCGATCTTAGTTGTGAAGAGTGCAGCCAGCTCAGCTCCAAGTCCAGTCGCCATCCGGCCGCCCATTGGCAGCTTAGGGCCGAGGCTGCTCAGCTCAAGGTGCCGTGTTCGATCGTAGTTGTGGGTGGAAGTAGCCCACCATCCCATGCGGGAGTCAAACCGGAAACCTTGTTAGGAGCATGTGCTCTCACCAGCTGAGCCTTCCTGCCACCTGTTGGCAGCTCAGAGGCAGCTCAGCTCGGACGCAGCTCACTGGCCCATGTGGAAATAGAACCGGTGACCCTGTTGCTCAGAGCTCGCACTCTTAACCAACTGAGCTACTTGGCCGGCCCGACACTATTCTAACTATCATCCAAAGTGCTACAGGAAGGGAGGGAATCTGGTCTTGAATTCTGCCTAGCCTGGGGTGGCACAATTAGGGGAGGATTTCCAGAGGTGGTGACACCTGAGCCAGGCCTCAGATGATGGCTTTCCCTCAGGGAAGTACAATTTGCTTTCCATGCGTATTATCTGTTTGTTTGTTTTTTTCTTCCAAAGGATCTGGCTCAAGTTCACTACAGATCACAAAACATGATGTCTTGTTGGCTACTTTAAAATCTAATCTGTCTGCTTTGGAGGATAAATTTCTGAAGGATCCTCACTGGAAGAAATTGAAACTCCTACGGGATGAAATCGCTAATAAGGCTGAGTGGCCACAGAATTCTGTGGATGTCACCTGGAGTTTCACCTCTCAAACCTTACTGTTGCTGTTGTGCTTGAAGGAAACCATGGTCCGCCTTGCAGCTGATTTCAGTCCAGGCCAGCCCAACCCGAGGACTCCAGAAGCTGCTCCAGTCCTGAGCCCGGATACACTCAGCATCGCCCAGCAGAAGACTGTCCAGTCAGTTTTGCAGTTTGTTGTCACCTTGGGCGTCTGCCCCTATCTCATGCCTGGTGTTGGAGTCCCTTTGAGATATAGGACTGAGTTTGGGGCTGTTGTTCAAGACGTTGTGTGTCTCGATGCCGTCCCCAATGCCACCCAAAGGCTGTATACCAGCTGCAGGGTCCTCCTAAATGTTGCTCAGCACGCATCTCTGGGGAGCTTGATTTTCTGCGGCCATTTTGGGGATATTGCAGCAGGTTTGTGCCAACTGGGATTCTGCCCAACCAAGAGAAAGCCACTAAAACCCGAGGAAGAGGTAAATACATATATAGGGAGAGTGGTGTGAGTGTGCCTGAGTGTGTCTGTGTGAGTATGTGTGTCTATTTCTGTGATTGCTGTAAAAGATAACAATTCTTTGGAAAAGGACTGATGGAAAGATCTGGAATTCCTTTTGAATGCCAAAGCATATCCAGTAGATAAATGAATCTTTTTAGAGGGTGGAGCTTTCATTTATTAGATGCCAGTCCTTTGCACTCCTGGCGAGTCCATCTCACCTGTCCCTTGTCATTTTTGAGGAACAGCTATTTGCAGGCTATTTCTTTGAGCGTCACTTTCCTTTTTTATAAAATGTGTATAATAATATTATACCTGCCTTGGAAGGTGGTTGTGAAGATTAAGGATAATGTGTGTAAAGTACCTAGCCCAATCCCCAGTAGTGATCATCAAAAAGTAATAACTATTAATGTTAGTATTAAACTACTTGTACCTCCTTCATTAAGTTCTTGTGATGATTAAATGAGATAAAGTAGGTAAATCACCTGGTACACTGCATATTTCAGTCAATGTTCATTGTTATTAGGTATTAAAGGCATGTGCTCTGTTTTTCTGACACTCAGTCCGTAAATATTTGAGTACCTGGACTATGAAGGTGCTATGGAAGTGACAGAAGCACAGGACACAGTGCTTTTCTCAAACACCTCCCACATTCATTGAGACAAGACTCACAAGTATAACATAGCAAAGACCAACAGCATCGGCATAGGAACCTGGCCCAAAGAGGCTGTCCTATCCAAATGTACGTGGGTCAGTGCCGCTGATATGCAGCCATTGCAGCCAGATCTCATAATGGCCACCCACCTCATTTTCCTCACAGCTTTCTATGTCACCTTCCAACTTGTTCCTTTTCTGTTTTCTCCTGCCTGTGCTCACAACCATTTACCTCAAAGCCACTAACATCCAAGCAGTGACATGAAGTCATGAACTCCCCCAGTGCCTTTTTTCCTGTGGAGCAGCGCTCTGTGCTCTTTACAGCAGGGTGTGAGTCTTGACATTGTATCAGTGCCTGCTGCCTGCACTTCCCTGAGATGGGGCGTCTGGATTGACAGGTCTTACCACTATTACTGGGGCTAGGAAGTGCCCCGGGGGTCTGGGGCAGGAGAGAGAAAAGAAAGGGAGACACACAGAAAGGACCAAGTAGGGAGGTAGGAGAAGAAGCCGACGGAAGGGCAAACATGATGGATGTACGTTACGAAGCTGGACAAATCCCAGCTACAACTGCTGCTCTAAACAGCGCCTGTACTTCCATTTGCCAAATGGTAATGGGCAGGACCCTGACTGTTTTACTGAGTTACCAAAGGTGGTCAGTACTGTTGAGGACCCAGGGGCCCCAATAAATAGCACCCCTCTTTACTGCCCAAGTTCTGAATGAATTAAGACACTTAACGGAGTAAGAGATGAAAAACCAAAATGTCACCTCTATCACTCATAAATGCAGAGTTGGAGGATATAGCTTCTAGATGGAGACAAATGGGCTTCCCAACAGTGCATTCCAGAATTAGACACACTTACTACTCCCCCAGTTTTAAGAAGTGCTGGAAAACGGCAGTACCTTCTGCCCCATGGCAGGGGATATGCATCTGTGAAATCTACAGCAAGGAAGAGCAAAGCCAACTGTGCACTCCCAAGAGAAGGAAGAGGAACGACCTGAACTGTGTGAGCCCAAACTCACCAATGAGTATTTATTCCTAACTCACCAATAAGGTAAGTCAGTAATCTCCCACCCAGAAGTGAGCGAGGGCCAGGAGTGTTTCAGTATTATAACTCCCTCCAGATGAAAGGAAGTCAAGACGGGAAGGAAGCCTTTCTCTCCCCTCACAAGTGTCTTTGTACAGTATTGTAAAACATTACCTTCTGTTGCCTGCCTGGTTTGTATTCCGCTAAAGCCAAGTACATGTTTCTTTTAGGTGTTAACTGAAGAGGAAAGAGCCCTATCTAGGGAGGCCTTGAGAGACATCTTGGATCAAGTGTATCAGCCGTTAGCAGTGCGAGAATTACTTATCCTCCAGGGAGGACCACCCCAGGTATTCAGGCCTGCCGGTGCTTGTGGGTGAATCATTAATGATCATGTGCAGTATGCTATCTGCTTCTGGGAAATTTGATAATCTAATTGAGTCTTATTTCATCTTTTAGATCATTAAATCATTTGTAAAACTAAATTACACTGACCCAAAGGATAATTTAAAAGGATTTTTCTTTTAATGGAATGATGGATATTTTCCCCAAGAATATGGCAGTTTTATTTAAAACATATTTTATTCATTCTGAAGCTGGATTTTTTTTAAGCTAAAATTTGGCTGTTTGACAGTACATTCTTTTGGCAGAAATATTTGGACATCTTATTCTTTGAATGGAGTATTTGAAGTCAAGAAATTAAAATTAGAGCTATTATTGGGACTAGTCTTAGCTTCTTTGTTTGAAAAACATAATAGTATATATTCTAAGCATAAAATAGTTTCTTTTTTACCTTACAAATAATTATTTATATGGAATGGCTTAATTTGAGGATGTAGATGGGAATTATCTATTTACTTTTAGTACCTACATTTTCATTTTGAATCTAGATGAGTAAAGCATGAAGGGCTGTAGCTCAGAAACAAGGACCAGCTGAAGCCGGTGACAAAGATATCTCTTAGTTGGTCATTTTCATCTCATCCCTAGAACATCACTACAGCCTCTCCACTGGGCCTCACCTTCTGCTTCTCTGAATGAGTCTACAGATTAAACCAAATGCATTATAATTATAAGAATGTGGTGAAAAACAGAGGCTCTAGAGTTAGGCATACCAGGATTCAACCCCAGCGTGCACTTGTAAACCTCTAGTAAACTTTTGAATTAGTAAACCTTTCCATCCTTCTGTTTCCTTCCCTATAAAATGGGATGACAACAGTGCTTTCCTTATTAGTCCTTTTTGAGATTATGTGGAAGGTTCTTAGCACAGTGCCTGGCACATGATAACCCCTTAATAATAAATGGTAATTATTAATCCCCCTTAAATAAAAGATAGATGATAAGATAGTTAGGATTAAATGTTTCTGTCACTATTTTTTATGCTCACATCAAGTGCAGTGATTGACAGCAAAATGGTTAACATTTTAGCTCAAAATAAGAGACACCAAATCTGTTTTGTTTATGGTGGATCCACAGAGCTCTCAAAAAGCAGCCCTTAAAGAAATCCAACTCTCTTAAAGTTGCTGTGTCACAATCAGAGTAGCTGAGACAGGGCAAGGACCAGAGTGCTCTCTCACTATTATGAACTGTCCTGGGTGGGGTGGGGTGGGAAGTGTTCATAGGAATTGTCTTTGGAAGGTAGATTTGACTGGAAGGACTGCATTCAGAGTTTGGTCACATTAACCTGATGTTCCCCAAATCTATATTTTATTCACTGATGTGTTTGTCTTTTTCTGGGTTTGAAACTTCATTTGATATTTCACTTGAAGTTTCATTGTATTTTTACTTTCTTAGAAGTGATGCTGGGGCCGGCCGAGTGGCTCAGTTGGTTAAGAACTCGCTCAAGAATGCGAGCTCTGAGCAACAGCGGTTCGAGTATCGCCTGAGCTGAGCAGCCGCTGAGCTGCCAAAAGGTGGCAGGATAGCTCAGCTTAAAAAAAAAAAAAAAAGTGATGCTGAAGGTTTTGGAAAGGAGAGAGTTTTTTTTTTCTTTTCTTTTTTTTTAATTGGGGAATTGAGGGAGGGGAACAGACAAGTTGCAGTCCTTTTGTTCTTTAGTTTAGTTGTGGAGGACGTCACTGCACTGGCCAATGTCGGTATTATGATCATTGCACTCTTCCCAGCTGAGGCAGATTGGTCCCCGGCCATTGGACGGCCGCTCACGGCAGCTCACGGCAGCTCAACCTGGCTGCTGGC